TATATAAAAACTTTTCTGCAATCCCATAATCTGTTCTGGTTCAATTTTTACGCACCTGGCTATGCAAATTGATCCTAATTCCGATCCTCCATTTACTAATGTATATTGGCGTGTCCATATTTTAGATCCGGCAAAACTTGATATACTCAAGTGGAATTCCCATATCTTCGTCAGTCTGATAAAGGTCATTATATCGACAGCTATCTAGATATTTTGCTCTGTATTTTGAGTTTATTTTCTTCAACTAATAAATACTATCTAACCCTTAGACAATCATCTTAGGATATGAATGCGGTCTTAGTAGATGTTTAATTTTTCTCTCTTGTATATGCTGCTATGGTGGATATTTTGCCAATTTTCCTTAAGTCTTTATCTTCTCTTAGTATCATTTTTATCCCTTTTGTTTTTGGCTCCTATCCATTTGGCCAACTCTAATTCACTTTGTACATAGAGGGGTTTTCCAAATAAGAAAAAAATATATTAGTGTATTTTGGCTCCTATTTACTTTGTACCTGTTTTTACACATTTCCTCAATCTGTCTCTGCTGATGTCACCCTTGAATGCCTACGCTTGGTATTTCGCCCTTATGCTTTTCACATATGAGATTTCCCGTGTTTTTTCATTCTCAACCCCCTTGCTACTATTTCGCTCTATCGTAGCATGTTAGTAAGGCATGACTGTCAGCCTTATTTGAAAATTGCAATTAGTTAATCTTGGAGTCTTCTCTTGATTTAATCTATCATCCGATGCTTATGCGTAGAGTGCAATTTTATTATACTTCCTGCCAATTTGCCTGGGTTTACACTTGACTAGTCTTGCGGCTGTTTTCATTATGTGCTAGGTTGCAAATTTGGTTGGAGAAGGGAAGAGCTCTTGAGTTATTTTGTACAAAGACGAGTAATGTGCATATATTTCGTATGCAAGTAGAGTATATGTGCATATATACATATATAATGTACCTTTTCTATACCTCTGTAATTGCTCTCGTCACAGCTTCGAATTTTTTATGAATCTGAGCATCAACTTGTATTCTTGTAAATTTTATTTTCTTACTGTCTTTTGGTCCCGCAGTCTTGATTATTTTGCCATCATTTATTTACGTTGTTCGGTCCCACATAAGTTTAGCTCTTATAGGATCAAAATTTTTTGTAGCCTAAATATGCTTCATATATTGCCACCGAGCTGACGCATAGTATGCAATTTCTTATCATCAGATTATTTGTCCTGTTGCCAAGTTAAGTAGCTTTAGAGACTATTAGCAATTCCTGGATAATAAGTTAATCCCTCTAGGTTCCATAGGGTGATTTAAGGATCGATAGTTTAGTCTTAACACAATAATATGACTAAGCCCCACGATACCCTTGAATTTCACTTATCCTTGCCTCGCATCACTCATAATTCAGCGGATATCAATAGCAGGTCGTGTTTATTGTGGTAATGTTATCGCCCCACTCCATTACATAGCCACGAGTACCAGTGGGTCAAAGGACCTTTTTGGCAGCAAGGCTAAGTGAAATTTAATGACAGCATGAGGCCTACTCGTCTCATTGTGGAATTATCTTCCATTCTTAAATCACCTTAGGAACATTAGGGGGACTAAGCTCTTATTTGTTATTTTGTTTCTCATTTCCAGTTTATGCATTCTAAAATCTCATCTATTAAATTATTTGGCCATTAATTGCATTTGTCCTTCATATCTTAAAGCAGAGAACGATGTCTCCTGTCAGGATGATCCGTTGTCTAATAAGACTCAACCGGATAGACTCATCAAGCATTCAGATGAGGAAGGACTTCATACCAGAGATTCGGATGAACATGAAGACGATGATGAAGATGATGATGTCCCAACACCCACTACTGCCGAAACGCCCGGCTGTGTTAGCACAAGTACTGCTGTCACCGACAATTTATTGCAAGTGGCTCCTGTAGCGGCCAATGGAGACGGAAACATGGTTGGTGTAGGTGAAAATCAAGCTCTTTTTAGTTCACTTGACGTGGCCAAACCCGAAGCAACAAAGAAGGTTGATATCTCTTTATCTTCTGCCGCTCGCTCGGAAGTAAGGATAATTTATTGATACATCTTGTTTTAAATTGGTATCCTGGAAATTACGTCATTTTGCTGTTCCCGAATTTTGTATTTGCATTTTTACTGGTTATATTCACATGTGCTGCACGGACTTATTTTGGATGAAGCTGAAATTTACTCTTTAGTCTGAGCATAATATTTTCGAAATGAGTTAGCTACTCCCTATAGATTCTTGCGGTAAAATGATTTGCAGGATATCCTAATGAAGTTCTCCCGTGTGTATTTTTCTTTATCTGTAGTATCTACCTTCGGCTTAAATTGAGCTGTAACGAACTCAGTGCAGGGAATCGCTTTTATAACAACTTACTTAAGCAAAATCGCAAGTCATGTATCTCACCAATACTTTTTGGAACAATAAAGAAGATCTGCTGGCATTTATACCTCATTTACTTAGCCAGTCGGATTTGTGCCATCAGTCTTTAAAAATTCACTAAATTGATTATCTTCGACTGATTTTACTTTTTTTTATAATTACTTGGAACTATCACCTGCTGTTTTGTTTATGAACATTTCTGTTATGTAATGCAAAA